AATCATATACATTTGAGGAACAGGATGACTTCTTAGATGTTAACTACAGAAATCCCAACCAACCTTCCGGCGGAGAATCTTCTCTTTTCCTGCTGTTAAACTCCTAGTGATCCTGCAAGACCCAAATCATTTTATCCCTCTGTGAGGCCTTCATTAACTCCTTCTCCTGCTCAAGGACATTTGCTCCCTTTTTTGTGTTCCCCAGTCCTCTCATTAATTCCTCCCACAAACATTTATTAAAAGTACAAGAGCCAAGCACAGTACTCTAAACTCTGTAGTATGAAGAGGAATAACACAGGCTTCATGCCCAGGAGGGAGAAGTGGCAAGTATGTAAACGAGGTTATTATTACACACTGGGATTAGCAGTGCTCTAACGGAGGTATGTTGTGCAGAGAAATACAGTCCTGCTTCCCCTAAGTATCCCATGAAGCTGTGATTCCTTAGAACTTCTCCATCCCCCAAAAGACTACTGGGCCTCCAAAGACAGGAACGATGCCTTGCTTAGCTCTAGCTCCTGCTCAGAACACACCACAGAAACTCAATAAATATCTGTTCCATGCTACAGAAAAACAAGACAACTAAAAAAAGGGTTAAGTACTACCAGTGCTTTACAGTTGAGTCTTACGCTTCCCAACAAAAGGTATGTGTTAACTCTATAACCAACCAGATTTTGCTGCAATGGGCCAACTGAGTTGAACTGTTCAGACCCTCTTTGGCAGATGTACTTTTGAACGTTCCTTTGGCAGCATGATATTCCGGTGCTCACAGGTGGGTATGCTGACACACGGGCCTCCACGTTGAGAAAATTAATGCAGCAAGACACCATCCAAGCCTCCAGCGCCTGCCTTAGAGCGTCCCTGGCTGACCTTCGTGGGGGCAGCCCTGCCTGGATCAGAGTGGGCTGCTCTGTTCTCCAGGAAAGCAATTTGACCTTATAACAAAAACAATGAAGGTTCTCCTAAATTACTATCTAGAGTCATTTATAAAAAGCCATGTGATTTCCCAAATATGGAGTACATAATTAGTTTAAACCGTTTCAAATGAGAAACTCTGAATTATACTGTTTCTTTAAAACCGTGTACGTCCTTTTCAGCAACAAATCAAGTTAAAAAAATAAAAATGTACCAAGTTATTTCAGTAATTTTATTTCATTTAATTACTGCTTCCTCTCTTTCTCCACTGAAGATTTTTGTTTTGTTTTTTTTTTAACTATAAAACAGTCTACCTAGCTGCACAAGTGGCGTGATACAAATCAAGGAAACCAGAAATTGAAGAACAAAGCCACTCAAAAAACGTGCTGTCAAAAATCAGTTGTAAACTACTAATCTGAAAAGCTAAGTCAGGGCTATCCGTGAATCACTTTATTGCTGTCATCAATCCTCAGGGACAGCAACAGAACACCCCAAAGGCACCTGCAGCCCCGCGCGGGCACTGCCTACAGCTGGCTCCAGGGAGGGCTGGCCGGCAGCAGCGGGGGACACAGAGCGCATGCGCCAGGAAGGGACCCCCCCCCCCCCCCTGCAGTGTAACTCATCACTTGTTATTCGATCTTTTTTTTGCAGTAAATTATACTTGTGTCAACAGACTCTGGCCTGGTGGGGGGTGGGGGGGGAGGGATATCAAGTCATAGGAACCTGCCCTTGATCGGACACAGGGCCGCTCTGAAACCTTCTGGGGCTCCTGATGGTTATGAACCTAAGAGAGAGAAATCGGCCACGGGTCTCTGGGAGGCAGGGGTGTAACAGTCGGAGGAAGAGGAAACGCCTAACAGGGATTAAAAGGCACAAGAGAACCATCCCACAAAAGGAGGTGCTCCGATCCTTTCATCCTGATGCTTTAAGACAAGAAAACCACACGCACGTGATGTGTGAGCCCGTGTATGCTTCAAAAGACTAACCACCTTCCTTCCCTAGTCTAGGTACCTTGTCCAAGACCAAGCACGTAATCCCAAGAAGCTAAGTAAACGACCTAGTATAATACTGACTTCGTCTTTTAAAGTTATTTTCCCAGAACCAATTGACAACTTAATAGCTGAAAGAGTCTAATGAAAGGAAAACCTGCCCCGATGACAAGGGTCCTCTAATTTCCTTTATACTTGAAAGAACTTCAAATTTTAATACACTGTGGCCCAAGATTTAAAGAAAGCTAGAGATGCTGTTCATGATGTATACTGCATTTGTCCGTAGTTCTGAAATCCATAAAGGACTGAAGATGGAAGCTTTATTCACAAATGCTTAGCAGACTCTAAATGGCAAAACATACTTATCACACTGAATGGGACTATCTCAGGCTCCGCTGCACATTATCGGTGTCTGAATGCAGGACGCTGCCCCCACTATACACACAGTGTCCTGTAATACACAGCATTTTACCTTCCTAAAATCCAAATTTTCTAAGTCTTGCAGACCTCCCTGGCCCCATGGTTTGGGCAAGGCTTTGTGGACCTTGCGCTACGGACACTTACAGGGAAACGGAGCCTGGGTTCCACTGCATCGGAATGTTACCTCAGAGCATTTTACCTTAAACTCAAAACTTCATTTAAGTAGCACCTAACTCTGAGCAATTTACATCAGAGGAAGCAAACATGTAGAAAGTAGAACAGCATAATAAAGGGGCTGCACCTTGACCGGAAGAGCCACTGACCTTACCAAACCTCGAGAACAGAGACACTGCTCCAGGCCTTTTAGCCAAAGGCAGGTGAGGACTGTGGCTTTTTATGTGATTACCTCGAACTTCAGAGTCGAGTGAGATCCTGGAATTCGGGCTGTGTGTGCTGTGACCTAGCTCATTCATAGTCCGTTCTTCCACACAACCTACAATGCTAGCTAGTGTTACGTCTCAGACCAAAGTAATTCCACCCTGAGAAACAAACAAACCAAGCGTTACTGTAGTTATTATTGTTATAATCTTACACTACCCTAGAGGAACAAATTCCAACAAGCTTTATACCTTTGCTTTCCAAATGCATCAATCCATCTGACCAGATCACCAATACCCAAACCCCAATACTTTGAACTTGTATCGATAGGGACCACGATGAAACGCGTTCATTCTAAATCGTGTGTGTGCATTTCTACTCCCCTCCCCGCCAACCATGGGTACTTGTCTGGAACCCAGGCGGCTAATCACTGTTTTCAGCAAATCCAGGAGAACAAAAAGTCAAGCCTGCTATTATAGGCAGAACTGGACCCTGCGGATTTGAACCTCCACTGAACGCAAGTCAGAACAAGAGCAACTTTACACCAACCAACTTGAACAAAATAACTCACATCATTTTTTAGTACCTTAAGAGCATGCAGGAAGGGATGGGATAATGGCTGGAGTCAATCACAGTCCCTTCTAGAACATTCCGGGTCAGGTTAGCCACGAGATGTGCAAGTTCAACTAACACAAGGCTGGCAACAGGTAACTTTGTATCACAACCTCACCGATAAAAAGAAAATTCTGATCTTAACTCTACTGCATATTCAAGTGCTTAACTTCAAATATTCTCTATCACATTCTGAGGATCATTAGAAGCATGTTACGACATGACATCACTGATCTTCAGTTTCCCTTAAAAATACTTAGGCGAGGGCGCCTGGGTGGCTCAGTTGGCTAAACGACTGCCTTCGGCTCAGGTCATGATCCTGGAGTCCCGGGATCGAGTCCCGCATCGGGCCCCCTGCTCGGCAGGGAGTCTGTTTCTCCCTCTGACCCTCCTCCCTCTCATACTCTCTGTCTCTCATTCTCTCTCTCGCAAATAAATAAAATCTTAAAAAAAAAAAAAGAAAGAAAAAATTGCTTTAAAAAAAAAAATACTTAGGCAAGCACAATGATGTCTTTGCCCTGGCTGTTTGCATACACACCCTAGGCAGTCAGCTGACCTGGGAAGTCCACTAGGGAGGAATATTCTCGGTACTCTGGGGAGGGGGGTAAGTTACCAGTGGACAATCTCTAATTAAAGCCCACACTGCAGGGCCTCAACTACCCTCATTTCTATCAGCAGCAGGGTTTGGGAATCAGAACAAGGGATGTTACTAATGATTTCTCGGTGGTGAAGTGCATGGGGACAGTATCTTTATCCATCCCCTCCAACCCCAACATGAGCAGGGTGTAACAATCCAGCCCCTCCGCTCACCCACCCCTCTTCCCTTTAGGGTGATGACCCCACATGGGGAAAGAAGGGGATCTGTGTTTTGCAACTTCTGGAGGAGTCTGACCTCCAAACACCACCAGATTACCTAGTTCTTGCAAGACAATATTGTCACCTCTGCCTCCAAAACCTTCCCTGTGAGGTCCCTGTTGGAGGGCGCAAGAAACAGGGAAGTGAAGTTTCAGAACAGGCTGTGGGGTTGTGATTTTCCTTCCCGTACGGGAGAATACATCACTAGCAAACAGAATGCCCTCCCAGACTTGCTCTCCTGCTGAGATTCCAGAGGCCGTGGGGAGAGGCCTGTCTCCCTGAGCACCGGGATGAAGCATCTTTAGCAGGAACGCGATAGGTGAGAGGGGCTAAGTCAGGGAGGCGCCACCACAGCGCTCACGCATGGCAGCACCTACAGGGAGGCCAGGCTTGGCAGGTGGAGGAAGAAATTAAGCAAGATGAACGCTGCTGCTCCTGGCCAGGCAGCACCACCTGTGTGCTAGCTTCAGGGCCAGGTCCCAGGCAGCCCACAGGCATCCCAGTCTGCGAGCGCACAGCGGGGCGGCGAGCGCACGGCTCTGCTTGAGAAGGCGGCTGCGCCGCCCGGCAAGGTGATCTCCCCCCAGACAGGCTCACAGCGGCTGAGCAGATTCCGAACGGCACCACCAGACACACTGGAGGCAGGGGCAGCCACACTTCCCGACCGCAGCGGTGTTACTGGGGAAAACCCGCAGTACGCGAGTTCACACCCGGCGTGACCACCTGCCGGCCGGTGGCTCGAGGAACGCAGGTCCCTTGGCTACTCCCAAATCCCAACGTACTCTGCTGAGCAGGCCGCTGCGGAACCAGGCCAGCTCCCACCACTGCCCTCACCTCCCTGGCCGCGCTGCCCACCTCTGCGCGGGGACCCGTCGATGCTCTCCGCGCTGGACGAGTGCGCGTCGGCTGGGGCGCGCCGCAGGCTGCTGAAGTAGCCGCGGGGCCGCGAGGCGCCGCCGCTCCGGGGAGAGGGACCGCCGCCGGGCGCGCCATCCCTGCGCGCGAAGATGCCGCTGAAGAAGCGCAGCAGCCGGTGCTCCGAAGCGGCGCCGGGGCCCGCGGCCGCCGCCCGCGCGCGCTCCAGCCGCTGCAGGTCGCTGTTGTCCAGCGTGCGGTTCTTGCTCTTGCTGCGCTCCCAGCGCTCCAGGTCCGAGAGCGCTTCGTTCTTGCTGAGCACCTCGCCCACATCCAGGGTGTTGCGCTTCTCCGAGGCGGGCTGCGCTGGCGCCGCGGGCTCCACCGCGGGCCCGGAGTCCGCCGAGGCCTCGCCCCCCGGCGCCCAGGCCAGGCTCCCGGAGCTGCTGTGGCGTCTCCCGCGGCCCAGGGTCCGACTCCGCGACGCCTCGGGCCCGCTCCAGTGCCTGAAGCTGAGGCTCCGCCGCAGGGGCGCGGCCCGGACCCCCTCCACGTCGGGGCTGCCGGGCCCCTCCTCCACGGCCGGGGCGCTGCCGGCCAAGTCCGCGGGCTCGAGGCCGCGTGCGCAAGGCCGGAGCCGCCCGAGCTCCAGCTGCCCAGTGCTGCGGGTGCGGAAGGTGCGGAAGTCCCAGGCGCGCGGCCGGCGGCCCTCGGGCTCCTCGGCGTCGGCCGCCTCCTCGTCGGCCTCCTCCGCCAGCCGTCCGGGCGCATCAGGGGAGCGCGCGGGCCGCGGCCTCAGAGCCGGGCGTGGGTCGGGGCCCGGCGCGGCCAGCTGGTCCTTCCTGACCATGGTTACGGAGATACGGTAGACCGTCTTCCTGGGGGGCGTCCCGCGCGGCATCGCGTCCGCGGGCGGAGACGCGGGCTCGCTGCTGCCGTCCAGCAGGTACATGGCGCCCAGGGCCACGGCCGCCGCCGCCGCGCCGCCCGCCGGGGCCCCGCTGCATCCAGCGCGCCGCGGGCCGGGACGCGCGGTCGCGGGCGCGACGGGGGAACGGGCACGCCCGGAGTGGGCCCACGCCCCCCGGTGGCCGAGAGCGCTGAGCTCAGGCTGCGGGGACGACAGCCCTGGCGCCCGCCGGCCCGTGCGCCGCGCGGCCCGAGTGCGCGGGTCCGGGCCCGGGGCGCCGAGCCATGGGCCGGCGGGGCGGGTGGGCGGAGCGGCGGGCGAGCCGGCGGTCAGGCGCGGGGGCGGTCTCGCCGGCAGGTGCGGCCGCAGCGCGCGGGGCCCGGGGCGGGCGGAGGCGCCCGCGGCTTCATTGTCTACGGCGCGGGGCCGGCTCGCATCTTCAGGCCTTTTCTGCACAGTTGGGCAGCTCCGCAGCCTCCGCCACTCGCTGAGCTGGGACTCGCGGGCAGCCGCGCGGCAGCGGCCGAGGGGCGGGCGGGCGGGCGGGCGGCGGTTTAAAGTGGAAATGCGCGCCGGGGCGGGGCGGGGCGGGGCGGGAGGGGGCCGACGTGCAGCGACCGCAGGCCGCGCGCCCAGCCCGGCGGCCGAGTCCCGCGAGCGCGGCGGCGGCGGAGGCGGCGGCGGGAGCGCGGCCCGGTGGGCAGGCAGAAGTGCCGGGCTGGATCGCCGCCGCGCGGACCGGAGCCTCCGGGGGGGGGGGGGCGGCCTGGCAGCTCGCCTGAACCCTACCCCTACACTACCCCTACACTCCGGGGCCTGGCCTGCAAAACCAAATACGGGCCATCTCTCACCTGTTTATCTGGAGCTCTGAAGAGGATGCAACTCAAACAATGACTTCTTTAGGAAAGCAAGGTATCTCGGGTACTTGTTACTACACTTGGGGGGAAAAAGTGCACGCCAAGATGGAGACAGCAAGGGAGAGGCGAGGGTGGTAGCTTCCCTGTGATGTGCTGCTCACACCACTGCCCTTCGGCGAAGGACCATGCAGTTTCACTCCTAAAATACCATTTGGGTGAAGGGAAGTGAAGTTTCAGAACAGGCTGTGGGGTTGTGATTTTCCTTCCCGTACGGGAGAATACATCACTAGCAAACAGAATGCCCTCCCAGACTTGCTCTCCTGCTGAGATTCCAGAGGCCGTGGGGAGAGGCCTGTCTCCCTGAGCACCGGGATGAAGCATCTTTAGCAGGAACGCGATAGGTGAGAGGGGCTAAGTCAGTATTTTCTCTAGGTGTGGGAAAAGGCCCCTGACAGTAACAGGCAGGAGAACACAGCGGTTCAGAGCAGGAGGAAAGAAGACTTGCCTGTCCAAGCCTTCCACTTCCATCTTAGATTTTACACCTGGAAGGCAGGGATGGAGAAAATCGGACCCAAACTCTGAGCAGAGAACTGAAATAGCTAAGACACCATGTGCCAAGCATTCTGTGTAAGTGCTAAATATTGCACGCTGAGTTTCTCTTCCATCAAACTTCCCCCACCTGCTGCCTCTCTTGGATGTCTAGATCCTGGTTCTTGATATGACCTGATGCAGCACAATATTCTCACGTAGTTGATCTTTTTTTTTATGATCAATCTATTAGTTCTTGATGATGTACTGAACGTAGGGGTTTCCGTTTGCTGGCTTACAAGTTTCCATAGGAAAATGTCATAAATAAAGTGTCCACTGATCAAGCTGGATGCTTACACAGGCTTCTCTAGGCCTGGAACTGCCAAAGATGCGTGAGAAGCTGTTCTGAGGGAAGGTGCTGACAGCAAAGCGTCATTCTGGGATTCCATGACTGTTTCCAAGTCCTGCTTTCCCCTCCTTTCACCAAATATCGTGTTCACGGCACAGAAGGGGATACAAAGATGAATGGTGTGGTCTCTTATGAAGGAGGTTGTGGCTTAGGAAATCTGGATTTTACTTCGGAGGGAAATTAAATATTCAGGTTTAATGAGATAGATCAGAAAGCTTGCTAGGTGATTCCATTTCTTTTTAAGAAGATACTTTAGAGCAGAGGATTTTTAGAGCAGGGAAAACACTCTATATGGCACCATAATGGTGGACATGTGTCATTATACGTTTGCCCAAACACAAAGAATGCACAACACCAAGAGTGAACCCTAAGGGGAACTATGGACTCTGGGTGATAACAATATGTCAGCATCAGTTTATCGATCACAACAAATGAACCACTCTGGAGGGAATGTGGGTAGTGGAGGAGGCCATGCGTGTGTAGGGGCAGGAGGCAGAGCAGAACCCTCTATACCTTCTGCTCAATATTGCTGTTCACCTAAAACTGCTCTAAAAAATAAAGTCCATTTAAAAAAAAAAAAGTTTAAAATGCATTTGACCACCCCCAGGGGCTGCACCTGGACATGACTGCCTCAATCACAGGGTCATTGCAAGCTCTGTCCACCTACTCCTGGCACTCAAGGGTGCAAGAGCAGTGTCTCTAACATGTCCTCAAGTGGAAAGTTAGGGAACCCCAGGACAGATCAGTCTTACCTTCAGTTTGGATAAAAAGCCCTCTTGGATAAGACCCAAGAACCAGCAACTTCCAGAGTGGGAGATGGACAGTCATCAGCTATCAGAATGAGGTTCCTAGAGCCCATCAGTTTATGTGGATGCCAAGGGCTCAGAGAGGGTGGGTGTTTTCCCCAAGGCCACACAGCTCAGTGCTGAGAGCTGAGCCTGGGGTCACATTACCTGTGCCCATCCCCATGCTACAGTGGCGTTTTTTGTCTTCGTAAGCATCAGCATTTGCTTTGATGACCGTGGAGAGACATGTGTGAATACTATTGAGCCTGGCACTAATCAAATGTTAACAACATCTAGCAAGTTTCCATTTACTCATTCACTTTTCTATTTGTTCATTTATTCTTCAAATATATTTTGGACACCTACTGCACAGGACTCGGTGAGAAAGCAGAGTCTCTGTCCTCAAAGAACTCACAAAGTTGTGAAACAATGGTGTTTTCAAGGCCATGAGATTTTACATGAAGACCGGGAGGGAGGTTGAGAGGATGGGAGATGAGCAGCGCCCTGCCGTCTGTCTGTCTGTCTGTCTACAGGGTGAGCCCCAGTAGCACTGGGTGGGATCTACGGTTTCATCGCTGCAGCTGTGTGGACAGAAAAGTCAAGCTGGCTTTAAGTGCAGACAATGGAACTCGGCCACGAGGAGTGGCAGGGACCTCTCTGCTTCGGGCCATGGTGGGATGAGAACCCAGGGTTCGTAGCTTAGCCTGGGATCCACTCTCACTTTTTAAGACCAAGGCAACCTTCAAATATTGAGATGAATTTTACTTTGAAATTAGTTAGCCCATAATTAAGACATAGATCTTGCTTGTTATATGAGCCAAAGGTAAAAAGTAACATTGCATTCCTTCAGGGCTCCAATCTTGAACTGCAGGCCTGTTCCCACTCCCGCCGGTTGGGTTGTCTAGAATCCAGCCCAGGGTTTGCACTTGGCTGTGGGAGGATGCAGTCTGCAGAGTAGAAGATTCCATTTGATCCACCTTAGATGACTCGGAATCTCAGCCTGTGTTGAATGAGGGAACCTCTTCCAGCCACAGCAGAGAGGTTCACTACCCCTCAGTGCTTTCCCCTCCCAGGAACGCGTTTCTTTTCCACACCAATCGCAATGATTCCACGCCAGGCCTGACAGTCTAGGCTGAAAGACGGGGAGAGTCACCTCTCCCCACTGCCCTGGATACATGGGCTCTTCCAATGCAAAGAATCAGAGGCTTAGACAGATCTTGTCCCTCCAAAATCTAAATCCCCTTTATGCAGCTAGACCTGCCTTTTAAAAATAGAAGCAATCATACTATATATGTTCAGGTGGCACTATGCTTTTTCTGTGCCTTCAAATATATCATCATTTTGGCTTATTAAAAAAAAAAAAAAAAAGCCTGTGGTTGATCTCACTGCTCCATCAAAATGAAGTAGCAGGGAGGCAGGCAAAAGCTCAACACTGCAGGGGCTCCAGTGCCCGACAGGGAAGGACTGCAGAGGGATCCAGGAATGGGGGCCAGCCCTACCTATCCACCCCCCTTCCATCGCCTCCTGCAGCTGGTCTTCCTCACCCATTCTGGGTTTAGGGGATCATCTGGCCACCCTCCCAAGACTTCCCTGTCCTGGGCCATTCCTAGCCATCGATAAATTAAACATCCTCCATGAGAATATTATTTCTCCAGTGTTACTAGAACTGATAAGCCTTATTTAAAGGACATCTCTGATAGTCAGCAGAGCCTTCTGCTACACAAGCTGACTTTCCAAGTAACAGAACTTGCCGGCCAGGAACACATTTACAGTATCTTAGCAGAACCGCGTGTGTGGGCCACGGCAGCGAACCAACCACTGACCCTGCCCAGGCTCTGCACGCCCACCCCAGGGGCAACAAAGCACCTCCCCCAGTTCATGGGGCACTTTAAAGACTATGTTCTGGCAGCAGGTTGACTGAAAGATACAGAAAGAAGCAAGAAGAAAGGCATTTATGCTACACCAACACTTTCCTGATGTACCTTTCTTCTGGCATCAGACTCCAGTCCGATCACCACAGGAGGAATGCTTTCTGATCTAAGACCTACTACGATGCTCAGCTTCTGCAGACCGACGACTCTGCGATCAGCCCTGCCTGGGCTGAACTCATTATTGGCCCCATTTCCCTCATTTTATAAGCTGAAAGTTAAAAGAGGAGCCAGGAAAGAGAGAAGGACTTGACGAGTCACAGAGGGACCAGTGCACTGGGTCCCTAAGGCCAGGACATTTCTGACCCAGCAGGAAGAAGGAGGTCCTCTGAGCACCTGAGGTCGGTTCTACCTACATTTTTCCTCAAGGACCAACAGTAATGCCACCGCTGCCAACAGAACCTTTCACGGTCCCCCGTGTATGAGCACACGGACATCCTAGGGCAGCACCTGGGCTCCATCCTCTTCAATTTTAAAAGGATGCCCCACAGTGTCCTCTCAATGGGCAACATCAGCGGGCGCCAGACAGAAGGAGCCAGAAGAAGAGGTCAGCAACTACTTATCAAAACCAAATTTGGTGAGACTTTACATGAAGGAAAGGGTTTTTTCAGTCCATGTCCCATCTGAAGGCATATGTCGATCAGAGAATCAGGCAGTTTTGCACAAGGAGGCCAGGAGCCGGGCGCCTCTGTGGGAAGTGGCGGGGGGTTGGGGGGCAGAGGAGGCGTGAGAGAACGCCCCCCCACTCCTGGTCCACGGTGCCCCAAGTCCAGCTCAGCGTCCCGCAAACAAAGGGCTTCTCCGGGCAGCCCTCGCCGATTCCGGATGACAGCGGAGCAGGACAAGATGCGGACGCTCGCGAGCACACCTGCGTGGGGCCGCAGCATGAATGCTTGCCGAGCACGATGTGAGGCGCATCAGAAGCGGGGGCCCTGGCAGCCGGTGGCCTCCAAGAGGACAGCAAGACGCCCACCTGCTCGTCCATTTTCTGCTCCCCAGCAGGTAGGCA